AGAAGAATATTGAGCAAGTGTGTACAAATATCCATTTTAGAAAAATTAGTAAAAGTAGGTCAAAGATAGAGAAAACTACAGTCAAAGTGACAGATTACTATAGTAGGTACAAAATAATGAGCAAAGAGTGGGATTAGTGTGGCAAGTGGCAGAAATACATGGAAAGTAGAATTACAAACCTCCAGATTTGTGAACTAAGCCCCTAAAAAGAAAGGCTAGTAGAGGAACAAGCTTGAGGGAGAAAAGTGGAGCAGTACACTGAGCAGCTGAACTGTTGTTGGACTTGCTCTGTGTTTTATGTTTTTGAGACAGGGTCTCCCTGTAGCCCCAGCTGGACTGGAACTCACTATGTAGACCAGGCTGACTTCCATCTCACAGAGATCTGCCTCCAGAATGCTGCTTTTTAAAGATTTTGTTTTTATTTCATGTCTATGAGTGCTTTGCCTGCACATAAATGTACCAGATGCATGTCTGGTACAGCCAGAAGAGAGTGTAGGATCCCCTGGAACTGGAATGCTGGGAACCAAACCCAGGTTCTTAATCACTGAGCCATCTCTCTAGCCCTTTGGCTTGTTAATAACCATGGACTAGAAAAAGAGACTAGGAGGTATCAGCACCTACATAGTTAACACTACAGATAAAGGCAGAAATGAAAACCAAGCACCAAAATCTAGGTACAAGCGGATTAAAAGGAGCTGGCCAAGATGGCTGAAGGTGGGGCTGGGCAGGGTGGCTCATGCCTTTAGTCTTGGCATTTTGGAGGTGGAGGCTGGTGGATCTCTGTGAGATGGAGGCGAGCCTGGTCTATGTAGCAAGTTCCAGGCCAGCTAAAGCTACAGGGAGACCCTGTCTTAAAGAAAACAAAAAGGGGGCTGGAGAGATGGCTCAGCAGTTAAGAGCATCAGCTGCTCTTGCAGAGGACTTGGCACTCACATGGCAGCTAACAACCATCCTTAACTCCAGTTCCAGGGAATTCAACGCCCTCTTCTGACCTCTGTAGGCATTGTATGACACAGGTGTACTTACATACATGTAGATAATAGATAATACACTCATACACATAAAATAAATTTTTTTTTTTTGGAGACAGGGTCTCCTTGTAGCCCCAGCTGTCCTGGAACTCGTTAGACCAGGCTGGCCTTGAACTCACAGAGATCTGCCTGCCTCTGCCTCCCAAGGGCTGGGATTAAAGGTGTGCACTACCACGCCTGGCTAAAAATATTTTTTTTAAAAGGAAAAGGGGAGCCGGGTGTGGCCTTGTAGACCAGGTGTGACACTATGTAGACCAGGCTGGCCTTGAATTCACAGAGATCCGCCTGCCTCTGCCTCCCACAGGCATGGGCCACCATGCCCAGCTATTTTCTGTTTTTATAAAAGGATGTCTGGCTAGGCATGGTGGTACATGTCTTTAATCCCAACACTTGGGAGGCAGATCTCTATAAGTTTGAGGGTAGCCTGGTCTACATAGTGATTTCCAGGCCAGCTGGAGCTGCAAGGAGACCTTGTCTCAAAAAAAAAGACAAAAAAGAAAAAAAACAACAAAAAAAACAAATATCTGAGGTTAAAGATGACTGGGATAGTTATCACTGAAGAACAAAGGGCAACAGAAGGTGAGTGATGAGCCCCTCTACCAAGCTAACTGGCTCCATTTCCCAGTAAAGAGCACTTACCTGGATGGGGCATCCCACCTGGTGGGAACGGATGAGGATGTGAATGTCCATGAGCAGGATGTCCAGCCCCTGGGGTTCCTGCTGCTGGGGGGCCATGTCCTCCAGCCCCAGGAGGCATAGGTGGTGGGGGCATGGCTGGGGGTATTCCAGGAGGGAGGGCTCCAGGAGGTGGTACTGGAGGTGGGAAGGAGCCAGGAGGAGGCATTCCTACAGGAGAAATGAAAAGAGTTAATGGTTGTGAGGAAAGAATGTCTGTCTCAATCTGGCCTTTCAGGCAATGCGCTCTATCCTCCTCCCAGCACTCTACAGCCAAAAGCAATGTTAGAAAGTCCAACAACTTCAACCTCCTGAAGAAACTCAACAACATATTACCACCCCTCATTCCTTCCTCACTGCCCACTGATTTAACATCCTATTCTTTTTGGGGGGATCTTTTTAAAACAGGGTCTCCCTGTAGCCCCAGCTGTCCTGGAACTCTATGTAGGCCAAGCTGGCCTTGAACTCAGAGATCCACCTGCCCCTGCCTCCCAAGTGCTGGGACTACAGGAGTGTGCCACCACGGCCGGCTTAATATCCTATTCTTTTGTTGTTTTTTTTTTTCTTCCTCCTGACCCTCTCTTACACTGGCCCCCATTAGTACAGTGTGAATTAAAAGCTTTACCTGGTGGAGGAAGCCCAGATCCCAATGAGGACACCACAGGATTGGGGGCAGAGGGTGGAGGGGGTGCATCTGCAAACAGCTGATGAGGGCGATCAGCCTGGGACAGTGGGTTCTGGGCTGCAAGAAGTCGTTCAGCTGCTGAGCCATGACGCTCACCCTTAGAGTCCTTCTTGAAGGCATAAGACACAGTGATAGGGCGATTACAGAGGTACTGCCCATTCATGGCCTCAATTGCTGCATCCGAAGCATCAAATGAAGCAAAATTAATAAAGGCATAACCCTTGGAGTTGCCTGTGTCAGGGTCCCGCATAATCTTGGGGGTTTGTAAGATGACCCCAAAGGCGCTGAAAGTATCATAAAGCAGCTTCTCATCGATCTCTGGGTCCAGGTTCCCAATGAAAATGTTGGCCCCTACATCCAGGTTTTTGTTATGAGCTGATGCCTTGTTCACCCGTATTGGCTTCCCATAGAGTTTGATCATGTTCATAATCTTAATGGCATAGTCAGCATCTTCCTCACTCAAGAATTCCACAAAGCCATAGCCTGTGAAAGTGAAGAAGAGAAGACTGACAACTCAAGTGAAGAGATTCAAAATGAAACATAACTCACTCTGCCTCCAAACAAAAAGAACATGGGAAAAGACTCTCATTTCAATTGACAATGGTTCCAGAAACTAAACTGAAATTTAAGAGAAAGAAATACTCCAGACAGAGGCTGGAGAGATGGCTCAGCAGTTAAGAACACTGACTGTTCTTGCAGAAGACCTGGGTTCGAATCCCAGCACCCACATGGCAGCTAACGACTGTCTGTAACTCCAGTCCCAGGGAATCCCACAGCCTCTTCTGACCTCCGTGGCACTGCACGACACGGGTGTACTTACCTACATGCAGGCAATACACGCAATACACATAAAATAAAATAAAATATAAAATATAAAAAGAAATACTCCAGACACAATCTGTGAGCTTTATGGAAAGAAATCTTAAGGTTGCTCATTCCAGAACAGTCGTGAATACTGCTTGAGACCCTTCTGGAGCAGCTAACCTCTCAATATATAAGAGCACTCTTGCCCTGTACTCACCTTGGTGCTGGCCAGTGACTCTATCCTTTGGCATGTGGGTGTTGACCACTGGCCCTGCCTGGAGAAACAGCTCCCACAGCAGTGGTTCACTAACCTTCTCATCCAGACCCCCCACGTACACCGTGGCATCTAAAGTGAGGGAGCAGGGGGTAAGGGCAAGGGTGGACGTACAGCAGGAAAGAGGGCGATCGGAGCATGAAGATGGAATCCAAGCAAGGGAATTGGGGGGGGCGGGGAGGTCAGGAGTGAGAAAACAAAAGTCAAAGACGTTAAATTAATCCTGCCTCCATCTAAAGTCTAATCTGTTGCAGAATCTGTATTTCCTGGTATACATATATAATTTTGGTGGTGTGTGAAAGGCGAAAGGGGATTAGACTTATTAGCATGTCCCCTGTAGGCCTCGGCCTGTAACGGGCCAGCCGTCCCCAGCAACCAGAGGTAGGTCTCGCACCGGGGGATCTCAACCCCCACCCTGGTGGAAGCACTGTAGGCCCTAGCCGGGACCGCCCATCTCCCCTAGGTCCATTCTGGGCTCTTCTACCCTAATTACCCTGATTCCGCTCCGAGATGGGCCCAGCAGCCATGGCGAAAAGGCTCCCGCCGTCTCCAAGCAGCAGCCCCGCCCCTCCGACCTCAGTTACTACTTCCACTTCCGGAGCGAAGCGCACGTTGGGGCGGGGCCGTGATGGGGAGGAGCCGGAAGCAACGGCGGCCATCTTAGGATGTTGGGAAACGCCGGCGCTAAGGTGTGGTAGCCTCTGGGGTGCTGTACCAGCGGCATGGCGGAGCCGAATGCCGGGCCGACTTTGGAGGCTTACTCTGCTCCACAAAGTGAAGCAGAACCTCCACTTGGGGCCTCTCTGACCTACTGTGTGCCCACGGACCTAATGTGTGTGGACGAACCCCTCAGTCTTAGGATGCCTTCGGAAGCGGCCTTCCTCGGGCCACCACCCTCGTGCAGATTCGCCCTGCGCCAGACCTGCCTCGGGGTAGTTACTTTTCCCCGAAGGGAGGAGACCACGGAACGTCTGAGTTGGAGTGACTGCCGAGCCCCAGCTAATCGTCATTGTACGGGGTGAGGGCGTCTGGGGTTGGCCACCGTTGATGGTGGCTGGGACTGAAGTTTAAGAGGCCCGAGTCAGAACCTCCAGAGCACACTCAGGCCTCAGCATCATGTTATATTCTTGTCCCATCTAAGTGAGACGGAGAAGAGAAACGGGGGGGGCTATTTTTCCTCCCCCTAATTTCATGTGAATTCTGGAGAGAATCCACCTGACTCCTTATTTCTTTGTCAATGAGACGAGTGCTTTCCTCTCAGGTTACACCCTCCCCCCGCCGCTCCGCCAAGATCCTTATTCAATACAAACAGTGCCAGCAATGTGTAGAAATACTGTGCTTTAATGAGCTCCTTAAATGGAAATGCCACTACAAAAATAGGCAGTGGGAGTACAGGGTGTCTCCGGTATTGACCGCATTCCCACAGAAAACTACAAGAAAAGAAACGGGATTTAAAGCAGTAGCAAGAGGGGTGAGAGAAGGTCGCCACGACGTCTTGTTGGAACTGATGAAAAACATCTCCGATCTCCCAGTTTAAAAACTGATTATCCAAGAAGGATGGAATTGCCTGGGGAAAAAGGCAATCATATTCTGAGTTGGTTTTGTTTCTTAATTCTTTAAAGCACAAGAAACAAAAATATCCTCAGGAGCCAAACAAAGCAGGAGATTAGCACCACATCTGCTACAGAAATTCTTCTGTTAAGCGCTGGAATGTGAAAGCTGAGGCACTAAGGACTGATAGGAAAAACTGAAAGCTAGAACCCTCCCTCACCCAGATCCCCCTCTATTCTGCCTTTGAAAATGCTAGTTAATTTCAGCGGGTTTGAGAGAGAATGGTATTTGTATCTCTTTTCTTATATTGATCCTCAGGAGATATTCTTGGTGTCCATTTTCTTAATAACTCCTGAAGATAAGACAGCTCATCCTGGAGGCCAGTGATTGTAAGAGCTGAGCAGCCCATCTGGGGGGGGAGTTAAAAAAGATGAAGAGGAATATTATTGCAGGTCTGGCTTTCTACTCTTTTTTTCTTTTTTTTTTTGAGATGGTCTCCCTGTAGCCCCAGCTGGCCTGGAACTCACAGAGATCCACCTGCCTCTGCCTCCCAAGGCCTTGGCCACCATGCCCAGTGGCTTTCCACTCTGAAGATCTATGCTACCTCTGGTGTCCTTAGTGCTCTTTCCCCTTCCAACTGTACCCTAAATTCTACATGATCTAAAGCACAGAATGTTTTTCTCAGCTCCTGCACTCCTAAAATCTACCCAGTTTGGTAAAGGGAATACTACACCTCCCAATTCCAAACCCAGCCCTTTGCCTCTCTAGCTCTGCTCCATATGGTTAGCAGTCTGGCCCTCTCTCCCACTCCAGTCCGTGTCTTTGCCTTCTCACCTGGACTTCAGGTCTTCCCCTCAGGTAACAGCGTCTCCAGAGCCTAATCTGAGGTCCCAGATATCCAGGCAGCAGTAACCCAGGGGGTAAAGGGCAAGTTCCCCAATGGGAGGGGAGCCCCCACTCCTGGTCAGCCAGGCTTTCAGAGGAGACAGCAGGTCGAGGGAGCCAACGAGAAGGGACTGCCAGCAGGGAGGGACTGTCTTGCCAAGGGCAGAGCTGATTCAGGGGGGTCAGGGCCCCTCTAGAGAACAGCCACACAGAACTGGGGGGTCCAGGAACCATGTAACTTGGCTAAAAGAGAAAAGGAAGCCAATAGACAGAAAAAGAAAAGGGCTCTCTGGATCAGGAAAAAGTATGGAGATCCTACTCCATTGTACTAGTGACCAAAACTACAGGCCTCTTTCTAAGAACTCTGTTAGGCTGTAGGGCTTGGGGCCCCTTGGGTTGACTTTAGAAAAACGTAATAAATGAACATGAAACAGGAAGACTAACAAGTGAAGAAGACAAAAGAGATGTCCCCTGCTATTCAAGGACTAATGGCTTCCTGGGATGGGGCTACAAATGACAGGTGCAGAACAGGGGTGAGGTAGCTTTCTCGGAGGAACTCAGACATTGTGTCTTTATCTCATCTGGTAGCCTGAGCCTATGGGAAAGTCAAGGGACTTTAGAAAGTTTAGGCATCTTACCTGCTGTCTAGGTAACCAGGAATTTGGGCAGTGTTCTGGATCATAGCCAGGATTATGGAACTGTAACATCTGCTCATTGCTGTAGCGTAAATCCCAGTCCCAGACAGACAGCTGTAAGTTAACAGAGTTCCCAGCTGGAGGCTGGGAGTACCCAGAGGTGTAAACTTGTGTGTAGGAGTTGAACTGGACAGAGGAAGCAAGGAAACAGAAGGTTAGGACTTGGTAGGTAGCTCTGTGGGTAAAAGCACTTGCTACCTAAGTGTGAGGACTTGTGTTTGAATCCTTAGAACCCACATAAAGCCAGACACAGCATTATATATACATGTTTATGTGTGTGTATCCCCCACATCTAGAGACAAGTCACGAACATTTTACCTCCTATTTCATGCATCAAATATAGCAAAAATCTCGTTCCAAGCTACCCTCACAAACCTCAATCTCATCAAGACTAAACTTGAGAGTATTCAACAGTGGGCTGGAAAGATGGCTCCATGGTTAAGAGCGCTGGCTGCTCTTGCAGAGGACTCTTATTTCCCAGCACCCATGTAGCAGCTAACAACCGTGGTGCCCTTAACTCCAGTTCCAGGGGATCAGACACCCTCTTCTGGTCCTTTTGGGCTTCGCATGCAAGGGATAGACTTCAACAAACATGTCAGCAAAACACATTTAAAAAAAAAAAATCTCAATAGGAATGAAAATTAAAAATGAGGTCACTGACCTGTCCGCTCCTCTTTCCACGTTCCCAGGGAGTGTTTCTCATAAAGGTAAGAGTGTCAGGAACCCTGACACTGTCATGCAGGGCAAGAAGAAAAAACTCAGAGAATTCAAATTCAGCTGGAAACTGCTGGAGGAGTTGCCAGACACAGTCGAGGAACAGAAGAAACACTGGGGCCTGAGAAAAGACAAATTAAGGTTGGAGAGTTTAGGAACCTAAAGAAAAAGGATGGCAACATAACAAGGAGCAGGGGACACTGGGTACAGGCCACTAAGTAGGTCAGGGAATTAAAATGACAGTTGAGAGTGGGGAGTATGAGCGTCATTTGGGTCTTTGCTCAGTCTAACCTCAGCCCCTTCAGACCCAATTCTGCCAGTGGGGTACAATGTGTCACTTTCTCACCCTCTTCCTTAGCAATAACTGCACCCCTCCCCACAAAATCCTCACCTCCTCACTGGTCCCAGTTTCCCCAAGCCGGGTCAGGAAGGGGTGTCCAGCCGCCACCCACTCTCTCTGCACTAGTGATTGGATACCAAATAATGTCCGGGCTTCAGGAGCCAAAAGCAGCTGGACGAGTGAAGAGAGGAGGCCATTGAAATCACGATCACCGCGCTCTGGGTGATGAAGGGACAAAGAGGGGGGTCCAAGAAACTAGGGCAGGAGAGAATAAGAGGGAACATGGCAAGAAGAGGCAAGGGCACAGAAGGGGGAAAGTCAGGGTAGGCGGGATTGAGAGTACATAGAAGTGAAGAGAAAACAAAGCTTGAATGATTCACTTCACAGACTACGTGATAGAAATATTCAGTTTCACATGGAGGAAGCAGAATCATGATTCTCAAACCAGCTCCCCCTGTGCCCTTCCCACCCAAACCCTGTCCCCATCCATGATGGAAGGAAGGGGGTGAGAGGCACTAAGAGTATCCTAGAGTTAGGGGCAACTACTTCAGTAGGGAGACTGAGGTGGCTCTAAAGGATGGGTTAGAGCTCACAGGTGCTTCTATAACAGGAAAATGCTAGCATTAAAAGGGCACAAGAAAGCTTTGTGGATCTCCCTGACTTCCTCAACACTATCCAGTCACATAAAGGAAAAAGGCAAGGAACGGAGTGAGCTGACCCAATGAACTCACCTTGAAGTACTACAGATCGAACCCGGGATGTCACTAATACTGAGATGTCGCTGGCTTTTCGAAGACAAGACCTGGGGGAGCATAAGAGGAAGGGAGTAATGGGTTGGAATAGTGGCAGATTCTAAAACCTGCTGCTCCTTCCAAAAAGCAGCAATAGTCTTGGGAAACCAAGGGAAAGAGTTCACAGAAAGCCACTGAAGAGCCCAAGTTAACAGAAGGTTGGAGAAGTTGGAATTATAACATGACTAAACAGCTGGGAGTACCTGACATAATCCAACCATCGTGTTCCTTCCAAGGCTGAGAGCCATTTATCTTCAGCTACAGATGAGTCTGGTAGAGAGGGATCAGAAGGGCAAAGAAATCAGAACACAGGACTCGGGATTCAGGTCTATACCCTAAATGGGTTAAGAAGTCTGGTAGTGGAAGTCCCTAAGATTAAGGATAGGATTGTAAGCCTTAAGTTTGATCCTGAGCACTAAAAAAAGAAAAAAAAAAAAAAATGATAGGGTCTCCCCCTATAACTATTTATTTTTTGAGACAGTCTCTTCATTGAACTTAAAGCTTACCATTTTCGCTCAAGTGGTTGGACAGTGAGTTCCAGAATCTGCCTGTCTCAGTCTCCCAGCACTGGAGATACGAGCA